ACTAAGGCTAGGAGAATTCTGATATGTGTATGTCCACACATGGTGAGAAAATTTCATTATAATCAACTCCTTCAACCTGTGTAAACCTTTTGCTACCAACCTAGCTTTAAACCTAGGTGCTTCTACCCCTGGTATTCCCTCTTTCCTTTGAACCCATTTACACTTAACCACTCTACTGCCTTCAGGTTTGTTAACTAGGATCCAGGTCTGATTTTTGATTAAAGACTCATATTCTCCTGCATGGCAAGTTTCCATTCCCTAGACTCTTTACTAATCATGGCTTCCTTAACAGTCCTAGGCTCATCATCAATCTCTTCAGCAATTTGAAGAGCAAATGCTACCATGTCAGCATGTGAGTACCCCTAGGTGGTCTAATTTCCCTTCTTTCCCTATCTCTAGCTAGTTGATAATTTTGCAAGTCATGTCCATCAGCATCATTATCACCATTTTCACCTAAGCTAGCATCTTCCCCTGGGTATGGGAATCTGAAACAGGATTGTTCAGACTTGAAATTCTCCACCTAGATCCAGATTTAAGACCCTGTCCTGTCTGCATTGTTACTCTCTTCCTGACCCAAAATACCCAACTCATCTTCATTAATCTGACTCTCTACTAATGATACACTTTTTCCCTCCATATCCCAACATTTATAACCCTTAATGCCATCAGGATATCCCAGAAAAATGCATCTAATAGCCCTTGGTTGTAACTTATCAGTTTTTTCATGAACAAAAACTGTGCAGCCAAAAACCCTAAGGTTACTTAGTTTGCAGGATGCCCAGACCATTTTCCATGGGTGTTTTTAAACTAATACGATGAGGGTATTCATTAATAAGGTAAACTGCAGTGTGGCAGCCTCTGCCCAGAACTTGGTGGGTAACTTGGAACAGATAATAGCTTCTAACCTTTTCTAGGATAGTCCTATTCATCCTTTCAACTAAACCATTCTGCTGGGGTGTGTGCCTTACAGTCTATGCCTCAGAATCCCCCTTTCCCTACACAGATTATCAAAATCTTCATTTATGATTCTAGCCATTATCAGTTCTAAGTTTCCTAATTTTCTCCCAGTTTGGTTTTCAATCATGACTTTCCAATCTCTGAATTTCCTAAATGCTTCTCCCTAGCTTTCAAGAAATAGACCCAGACCCTCCTAATAGTCATCTATTATGCTGATGAAATATCTACAACCTCCCAAAGATGGGTGTTTAGTAGGTCCCCAAACATCTGAATGGATATAGTCTAAAATAGACTGAACAGTGGTTTCCCACACTAAATCTGATTCTGTTCATCTTCCATAAATACAATGATCACAGAAAGCCAACTTTTCTATTTTATCTCCTCCAAGAGCCTTTTGCTTACCCAGCTCAACTAAACCTTTTCACTAATGTGCCCTAATCTCCTATGCCATAAGGTTGTCTTATTAGACTTTGTGGGTTAAGGATACTGCTGCTGTTCCAGTAATAGTTGACCATTTAAGATATACAGCCCATTCCTCATCCACCCTTCATCACAACTAAGGACCCTTTAGTTACTTAAAGAACTCCACCTTGAGCTTTATGCAATAGCCAATTGAATCAAGACTTCCTAGAGAAACTAAGTTTCTTTTTAGCTCTGGTATGTATCTAACATCAGTAAGCCATTTTGGCTTCCATCATGTAGATTCAGCCTTACATCTCCTATTCCTAAGACTCTACAAGCTGCATTATTTCCCATCAATACCTTTCCAGACTCAAGTTTCTTAAAGTTTGACAGAAAACTCTGTTTGGAGTCATGTGGAAAGAACATCCAGAATCAATACCCATTCAGCATCAGTTTCATTTTCAGAAACAACTAACACATCAGAACTCTCATCCCATCAGAAGCTATGCTACACTTCCACTAGCATCCTTTTCCCGACTTTTTCTTCCTATCGGACAGTCCCTCTTAAAGTGACCTTCCTTATGACAGTGAAAACATTTCCTAGTGACTTAGACTTAGACTTTGATCTACCCCTGAAATTCCCCTTCTTTGGCCTTCTTATCGGTCTCCTCTTACATAACCCCTCCCCATCTAGTTTACCCTCCTTTTAAATTCAGCATCCTTAGTAGTTATTGCTACCACTACTTCATCTAGTTTAAGGGTTTGCCTGCCATACTTAAGGGATCCCAAAATTAGAGAAAATTTTTGGAAGTGAGTTAATTAGATTACTGCTTGATCTTCATCCTCAACCTTAACACTAAGCCCTTCTAGATCCTGTACCAGTTTCATAAAGTCATTCATGTTGTCTCCTAATAATTTTTTTTCATCCATTTTAAAACTGAACACTTCTGTTTTAAAACTAGCCTATTAGGAGAGGACTTTGACAGGTATAAAGAGTCTAGTTTTTCCCAAATTTCAAATGGTGATTCCATTTTCTTAACTTCCCTTAAGACCTTATCCCCTAAACCTAGAATTAGGGTACTGTAGGCTTTATCTAAAAGGTCTTTCTTCTCCTTCTCAGACAAAGAGTCTGGTAAACTATCCTCACCTTTTAAAGTGTCAGCTAAACCATCCTTAACTAAGATAGCCCTCATTTCACTCTTCCACAATCCATAATCATTATCCCCTGTGAATTTCTCCACCTCAAACTTAGACTATTCCTGGTTCCTATACTTCACAGATGCTTAGAGTAAAAAGCCCTAATTTACCTAAGACTTAAACAAAACCCTAACTTGCAACTGTTTTGAAAAGAACTCAAATCTAAGCCTAGATGTTCCTGATTCGCAAAAGTCTCTTAACCTAGAGAAACCCTAGGTGCTAGAATGAAACCTAGTCTGATACCACTTGTTGGAACAAGAGACCAATCACAGAACCAGTATAAGGCAAAAAAAACCGATTCAAGCAGCAGATATAGTAACATATATCAGCAGTTTTAAACCACAATAATATGAAGCAAAATAAAGATGAAAAAGAGAGACAGAGATTTATAGTGGTTCGGTAATCTTATAGATTCTACGTCCACTCTTCAGGGCAGTAAGAAGTTTTCACTATGAGAATAAAGAGATTCTTACAGAGATACGCTCACCCTTTACACAGTGTATACCCCTCTGTAAACCCAGATCTCGTACACCTCTCTCACACACACACGATAACCAAGCATTGTAAAACGATTTATCAGAAGAACAAAGAACCAGAAAATACACCAGCTAAGACCTACCACAACCGTAGATTCAATCAACGCTGTTCGAAACCTCCAGCGCATCCTCATCTTGCAACAAACTTTCTCTCTCTGTTAACCAAGAAGAAAGTTCCAGACCAAACGAAATGAACAAAAAAAACCTAATTGAAATTAGGTTTATTGAAGGCTGGAGTTTTACTGAACTGCCCCTTAGCTTTTGGCAAAACACCTTTGACTGCCCTTTTCAAACTTTGACTTCCACATGGCATAAATCATTGCCACCTCAACAACAGTGGACTTGATTGTGTAGTGTGTTATTTGTATTGAGTAAATCTTGGTTTCTGAGGACTTCCCTCGTCGATTGCATCGCCAGATTTAGCAGTCGCTAGAGTGCTATAGTTTTGTTATCTTTCTCTGCAACGTTCGAGATGTTACTATTGCTTATATTATCTTCTTCTTCGCAACATTCAAGTTAACTTAGCATTGATACTCTTGACTGTCGGTGTGTTAGGATTTTCTCCATTGATTTTTGCATCTACCCCCTTTTCTGTTGACAAAAAGAATGAAAAGAAAAACGTATGCAAATTAAATTAATTTTATCGTACTAATAAAATATATATGCTAAAAGAAATAAACTATCAGAAATGATTAGAAAATTCAACTTACGATGTCATATTTTTTGGTTGAATAGGGCTTCAAAATTAATGGACACAGCGAGCTGCATATTTTTGGCTTTAAGAACTGAATCTACCAATTAAGCCATATTGAGCAAATAATGAAGAAGTTATAGCTCCTTTTAAATTGCTCAATCAATCTTGAGCAGTTAAAGAGAGTTGGATGGTTTCAAATTGAGCAAAAGCATAGAGTATTTATAGGCAAAGTGTGGAGATATTAGTCACCTAAAGTCTACGCAGTAATTTTAAATGCTCAAAGTCAGCTAAAAATTTTCATTATTAATTCCCTACTTACTACTTGATTAGTTACATTGTTTTTTGTTTGAAAAACATAACCAAACAACCGATAATTGTTGAACATTGCATGCTTTGCGGTTGTGAATTCATTATTTGGAAATTGTAGTCAATTGTTTACCTGTTCAAATTTCACGTGCTTGGAGATTAGACTTTGAAGTTTGAATCATATAAAATAATGTCCTAGAGAACGATAGCAACTCCAGCAATTTTTGGTTAACAATTCACATTTGTTAATGCTGAATTTGATTTATGATCTAGATGTCTCTGTACAAGTGTAAATATGGGACAAACGTATATTTATGAATAAATAATTTAAAATGAATATATGCCTACTGCGTCAATTTTATGAAGCTTATACCTATAGTAAATTACTGAAATAAGATTCATATTTATCACATGAATTAAGATACTAGTGAAAGAAATTATCAAAGAAGTTACTAAAACACTATTCTTCTTCATTAACAGTTATAGTTCAATCGTTTAACACTGGAGGAGGGGATATTAGATTCTGGATTTTGAATCTTCTCTTTATCTAAACTTCAATCAATTTTGAAAAATCGTTTGACATATATATAATTAATTGCTCATATACAAGAGATTTTAACATTACTGTCTCACTATATCAATTTAGGAATTTCCATCTTCAAGTCCCCAACGGATGGAGGCCTAATGCTAATTGTCTAATTGAGACATGCTAAGCCAATAATTCTAGATTTTTTTTTTCATGAGTGATTAAGAATATATCGTAAAACTAAAAGAATTCATACAAAACAACCTTATGATCTCTTACTATGTCGATGTAGTGAGACCCCCAATAAACTCATTTCTCTATAACAAGTAAATTGTTATTTTTGACACAAGAGAGAATAATTTATTTAAGAGAACCTCAGCCGTAAATTGTATTGACCTTATTTTATTACTCGGTTTGCTACATAATATTCATAATTCAATAAATTTACATGCATGCAGACAAGCTCTCATCAATTTAAATGGTAGCCTGATCAGCCTTTGAAGCAGTAGTAGTTTAAGTAGAAGCATCGGCTATTAATAACACTATCCCTCTCATCAACTTCATGAACTGCCAAACTCCTCTTTGTAACTTTGACATCGCCATTTATTTGTAGAAGTCGTCCCAGTTTGATCGTTGGTCCAGTTGGTCGCTTACATCTTCTCCTGAATTTACGAAAGAAAAGTAAATAAAAATGACAATAAACTACGAAAAGCTGTCAAATTATAATGAACAAAACTGTTAAGAAGAATCAACTTACATGAACTTAATTTTTGGTGGGTAGGGTTTAGAAATGGGTATGGGCAGAGGGAGCCTGTTATTAACTTGCCATTAAACTGCTACCGGCTAAAGCCATTAACAAATTTACACAAGTTAATTTAATTAATTTGTTCAAAGATGATTATTGTTACTGTCACAAGCTAAATCAGACTTTCAATGGTATAATTTAAACTGCTGAATTGTATAAGTGAACTACCCCTGAGCGAAACTTGGAGATAGAAGTCTTCTTTCGTTTCTAGAAGGTAAAAAGACAGACCAAGCCCATGAGCTTATTATCCTTTGTCGGAACAAATTAAACAAGTTGATATTTGATAAGATCCCCCTCTGTAAGTGCTTAAAGTCTCATGTTTTATAATAGTATGATCAATTCGATTAAATCTTGCGAGCAATCAAACTAAAATGGTTCACCATCATTGAAATAGAATGCACATTTTCGGAGGCCTAACCATAGCAAAAACTAATTCTGGGGAGCTTTCTATTATGTATATTAAAGCTTACAATTTCAGGTTGTTTGCTTTGTACACTCTCGGCAGCACTAATGAAAATATTTTCACCTTCCTGTACAACAAAATGCTTTCATGTTCTGAATTTGCCCAACAAACCTGGAAAAGCAAAATTTCAGTTTAACTGATTTTGCAGGGAAAATTGCAGGAAAGCGTCAAGACTTTAAGAAAGCTGGGTAGAACTATCCTCAGAAGGAAATTCATACAACAGTTGAACCATGTAATGCTCCACTATGATTGCAGCTTTTACGTTGGATACTATAATAGCCATGCAATAATATGCTTCAATCACAGCAGGGGATTACACAACATAACCATTGCGTACTTGCTCATTTTCCCATGTGTGTTAATATTCTGCTAATCAAGGTTTCTTTTTTCCCTGTAAGAGGAAGGCCGTGTGCCGACAAGTAATACTTCAACTCTTGCACGGTCAAATCCTTCAACTGCATACATAACAAATAGATCAACGTCATTAGAACTATTAACCTAAAGAAAAGTGCCAAAATTCCAAACTATCTTACTAAGTAACTAAAAATTAGAATGCTCTCGTCCAGGATTTTTATGGAGTATAAATTAAAAAAATTTCTAGAAGTTTACAGCGACTAAATCATGGTGGATGATTTATCACAAGGCTGGGGGAATTTTTATAGTCTCTTAAATCAGTTTCAGGAAAACAAACTACATATCTTTTCTTTCTTTTCTTTCTGAAAAAATATCTCCTTGGAATAACTGTAAACAAGTGATGCCTCCCACCACCCATCAGAATTGCTGAAGAGAAAGGACAATAACTAATTTGGTCTAGATCTTTTGTCAAACATGCAAGACCAAATCAGAAAATAAGACCATGAGGGTTGAAATAGAAGGTAGCAACATATTGTTTAACCTTTCCATTGTCCGCCAAGTCAGCCCAATCATAATTTGCACTCTCCTTAACTGCATTTTCAGCAACTGCTTTCCGTTTTTTTGAGGCCTCACTCACTTTTCCATTGCCCGCACACTCACTTTCCTCATCATAATCTTCCCCATACACAGAAAGCTTGAATTCTTCTATTGCTTTAACAACTCCAGGTCTACAAGCCATACACAAAACAACATTTTGAAAAGTTGACGTATAAAAAAAAAAAAAAAATGTCTATCTAGATCAAAAATAAACGCACAGAAAAAAGCATGGGATATGAAAAGAAAGATGGTAAACAAATTTGTCCTTACCTAGACATGCCTTCCTCATCAGGGAGTGTCTCATCATTGATATCTGGCATCTCATCTTCTTCTAGAGCTAGGGCCTGTAATACTGCATAGTGTCTCTGCAAGGCTGCAAGATTATTTTCAGTTAAATACAGAAGGAATCAAGTAAAAATTCAGAAACAGAAATTGACATCATTATCAACTTAGTGGTCGCTTTTCAGTTCATGAGTCAACCAATGTCACAACATTTTATAATAATTGCAGAAAATATATAATATATGTGGTTGTACCATGTGATTGCATCACCTTCCATTACGATCGCTGTCAGTGTGTGACAATGCTATTTCTTGAGACTCTGGACACTGATATGAGATCACAGAATGTGTAGAATAGGGACTCACAAATGTTATCAGAATTTGCATGCCTTCAAAGTCTACAACTTTATGTGTTCAGTCAACCTGTTCTACAGATAATCTATGTTTCAAGTATTCACAGATTTAAGTTCAAAGATAAACTGACACTTCATCTGGACGTGAATCTATTGGTGATTCTACAAATTTATTGGATTTTAACTAAACAATATGTAATGTCAACAGCATAAATATTTTTCATAACAGGTAGTAAGATGAATTTTTCGCTCTATTATGAGCAGTTAGAAATCATTACATAATAAATGGTTAATTTAGGATGTTTGCATACTGTATTGACATTAATGAGCCTTTATTAAGCTACTAGATTAGCACATATCACGCTGCAAATTACCAGGATTTGCGAATTGGCATACTGAAAAATCTTTCAAGTCAATACGTTTCATCAATGCAGCGGCCTTTTTAACTTGATCATCGGTAGCTCGAGGTACAACATCTGGGCTAGAATGAAACTGCAAATGCAACCAATTTCCTCAGTGAAAACATTATAAGAAAAATTTAGTCATATTAACTTGGATAACTATCTTGCCTCTTCAACATTTCTAATATCATCAGAATATGGAAGGTATATCATGTGCATTCCTGGTGGCTCAAGCTGACCACCATTACTAATAATCTCATCCTGTGAAGTTTCAGAACGGTTAATGAACTTAATCAGTGATGTTAAAGGAAAGAAACAAAATATAAAATCCAGTCAAAGCAAGAGCACTAATTCAGTTTCACAGAGCACTAGAATTTTCATCTTGAAATTACTTTAATTTCTGTTCTGTATCATGATGTTTTTATTGTGATGAGAAAAAAATTCTAAAATTTTCTCCATTGTGCAATACCAGCTTATAATACTACAGTTTCTTCACATAGCATTTAGGCCTAAAGCACCTTGGTATTCAACGTTCAATTAAAATACAAAAGCAGTAAATAGCACTATCAGCATAAAGTACATAACGACTCAAAGGATATGTGGATGCATTTACTTTATACAATTCATGTTATGGCCTAGGTGCGTGCAGTGTTAATATTTGTAAAAAATTATTATGTACTCTAATTTCTGGGGAGAAAACAGTTTTGAGTCCAAGTCTGTCCCCTAATCAGATTCTGAAGGGAAGGGCCGGTTTTCTTTATACATAATATTGATTTCTAATACAAGGCTCACATATTTGGTTCAAATTCCTATTACAATAAGAATCCAAAAAGGTAGAATGTTATGGAGCTAAGGTCTACAGTCAAGCAAGAAGATGCAGCTTAACTTGCAGAAGAAAATCACACACTTCTCACAAAGTTGTCTGATCACATGTGGAACAATGGAATAACTAATACAAACATGTAACGGATGTCTTACTTGAGCAACAAGGGCGACCAAATGAGGATTAGATGGATTGCCATAAAAGGCAACTGCAAAACTGCAAATAAAAGATGAACTCCTCAAAGGCTTTCAATTACATGCAGTAATAACTTACATGAGAAAGTAATAAATACAAAGTTATAGTCAAACATTAACAAAAGCCAGATGATCATGAAATGCATGAATGAGCTGATAAATATGCATTGATCTAAGATTCAAAGTAGCTTGCTAATTTCATCATATTGTAGATAAAGAAATAATTAAAAGGAAAGCATTTGCATTATAGAAGCTCATCAATTTGCTAAATACAAATGACAAAAAGTAAATAAAAATATAAGTTGAAGATCGAATATTATTCATGACAGATTTTTAGTTCAAGGCCACCACCTTTCATCCTTACTTTTCATTCAAAAAATGAATTTTATGATAGCCACTTGGTAGTTTTAGAACCCTACGTATATGATTATGAATAATATTAAAGATATGCTACATATAGATGTATACTTCTGATGATATGTATGCCTACAAAATCACTTTAATTCTGCATCATTGATGAAATGTAATTTCGAAAATGCAGATGTGTATTGTCTAAAAAAATATATTTTATAGGAAAACACAAATGACAGTTGAAAATAAACACCATATACATACCCAGATAAAATGCCAAAATATTCAGCGGTCAAATTTTGAAAATACAACTGACAAGTGTATGCAATATTAAGAAGTACCAACCGTTGAAGCCGTAACATGGATCTATGAAGAGCAATAAAAATGCGAGCACTGCCAACCACTTCCTGCATAAGGCAACAAAAGAGTGAGCTAATCTAGGCAATGAAAAAAAGTTGATACAGTTGAAGTGATGAATTGACTGACAGCTTAGGGATCACAAGGACAGAAGATGATGTATAATCGCTGCACACACACACACACAAACATACATATACACACTAACTTAATTATTGCTACTAAGTCAAAATAATTCATATTTTAATAATTCATATAACATTTAAGTATAAACAAGACCAATCCTGAGAAGATTCTTCTAACAAAATTTAGGAATTCCACAGAAAGAATAAAAGAAATCCATTATCTTAAGAGTCAAATATGGGTAACACCAAAAAAACTTATCAACACAGAACGAATATATTACAAAGACAATTCATAAGTTCTACACTCAAAAAGGCCTGACCTCAAACTTTAAATCTCAGACCATGTCATTCTACCAGAATAATTAGTACTTACTAAAGGTTTTACTGCTGTTATAGCAAAAAATTTACAGGAAGGGTAAGGATTAATTTGGGGCAGGTGGTGAGGCTATCATTTCTTATTCTCATAACCCACCGAAGTGTGAAGTTTATAATAGGAAATACCATCATCAGATGTTCATTATTAAGCAAGGTTCTAATCATGTGAATAGTTCAAGGCCACTACTGTTTGGTTTCTTTTTTGGAAAAATTTGTTCTCAAGGTCTTTGGAATGATTCAGAAGCTGTATCACCAAACATCATTCAAATCTAAAAACAGTAACCAAACAGGTTTATGAGACAAAAACTGACAAGCCACAATCTGATTCAACCTTGCAAAGGAATTGCTTTTTGACATCATTCATGTATACATGCATAATTATCTGTGAGCATACATACAGGTTTCAAAGTATCTCCCTTACTTTCCGGTAAAAATTCTACTAAGATACAAAAGGGCATTAACTTTCCAGTCAAAATAACTTGGCATTTATCTTCAGAAAATATAATGTGAATAGGCATGATTTAAATGTTCAAAAATTTGAAAAGCACAACAAGCCATCAACAAGAATAATTGATTTAAGCATAAGATGAAACAAGAATTAACTTCAGCAAAATGATATTTACAGTACAGTATAAGATAAGATTTAATGCAACCTTGTCACTAGGAAAAAGAAATGTCGATGGCCTCAAGTTGTGATAATCTTTTAAGCAACTTAATGGCTTGAACCCAAGGAGCTGCAGATGTCCAGTTGAAACTCTTTTGATCTCAGATAGCTCCGCAGTGGAAAATTTGATATTTTCACTGAAGATGACAAAGAAAGCATTGACTAAAACTCCAAGTAGAAAACTAACAATAACATTAATGACTGGAACTGTAAAATATGAACAATTTGAATACAATAAACTACATGATACTATGCAGAGCTAACGATAAAACCAGCATCAGAGAAATTTTTTTTTTCTTCCTGGTGCTAGTTTACTACTACTTACCTATATACTAGATAAGTTAAAACTTGCAGAAAGACTGTTCAAACCAATTTTCATCTCACTCAAAATCATGTTTTTTTTCAATCAAAAAACATGTTAGTACTTTGCACTAACTTAAAGAAAATCAAAAGTCACATCTATGCAAAGAAGTAAAATATCAAGGCTTGAACATTAAAAAATGAAGAAAAGTTTGGAATTAAAAAACAAGGAACTGAAAAGACAAATGAGTAGAATCCACAGAAGCAATTGAAAATGCTTACTTTTTGTAAGACTGAAATCTTTTTGGAGGTTCTTGCATCAGTGCCCCGGTATCAGCACAGATGAATGATCTTTCAGTCTGCAGAATGTCACACACAATTATTTCAAGAAGTACGCAAACTCCAAAACAACCCTAGGTACTTGAATTAACTACTTTAACAAGCAAAAGTTTTGGTTAAAGCTTTACCTTATATTATAAAAAATTAAAAACTAAATTGCTTTGCATAGATGTAAGGGCTTTCATGAAGTTACGAGAGTAGAGTACAACACGTCAAAATGATATATTTGCAAACCTCTAACACATACTTGTATTTATTATAAACAGAAATGTAATATGAACGACTAAGAGTTGACAAATATGCTTCCAGTAAATAAGAATGAGCAGCTTTCACATAAGATCTAACAATTATGAATCAAGACACAAATTAGTGCAGTATTTGAAACTTTTACAATAGGAGTTGCCATCTAACATCTAACTGATACCAATTGTTATTGTTTGGCATTCAATTGGCAAACTGCTCTATGCTTATATTATGCCCTACAATTGTCACATTTCTCAAGAGTAGTTATTTAATTTAATTTTTCTAGCAGTAGACAGGATTGAAAAACCCTCGATGGCTCTTATTACAATATACAACACAGCCATCTGTATGCACAAATGTAGTGAGCAAAACATAATGTCAAGAGTGGATTTACCTTTAAAGGACGATTTGTTACAGAATCAAGCCATGTAGTCGCCCCTACAAACCACAAGCATGGAAACAAATGATTTTCAAGCATATTATAAAAAAAACATGCAGAAGCTTAAAAACTAAACATTACTTAGAAAATAGTGACTCGCGTCTACCTGGAACAGTTGGACGAATTAAAGCATATGAATTCAATTCAATTGACAATCCATTGGCAATTATAAATGATATTCTTTTCACTATGCGCTTTGTGAACATACGCTTTCTCAGCTGATCTTTCATATCTTCCAATCTGAAATAAAAAATAAATATTTTCAGAAAATAAAGAATATCTACAACAGGTAATCCACATGCAACAGGTAATTATACAATGAGTATGAGCACAAGGTTTTTGAAGTTTTAAGATCACATTTGATAAATCTACTGCAGGTAACCTAGGACAAGAGAATACAACTAGAACTACCAAGTGGAGTATATCAATGTTCCCTCAACAAAACAGAGATACTAACTAAAAACTACATAAAAATTGCTGTAAAATATATACAAAAAACACACAAAAAGGAAAAAAAAAAAAAAAAAAAAATCCAATCAGAGTTGCATACTTTTGTCCCACTGAGGGCATGAATAGAGCAAGATCATCACCTTCCAATCCAATCAAACCCTGACACAAATAAAGTTCGGTATCAAAATTTTAATAAACTAATTAGTCATAGAAGTTGCTGAAGAAATTAAATAACATAGGTATGGACATACAGAATAGAAAAGAGAAACATTGAATTCCTCGCCAGGCCGATTTAAGGGTAAAAGTTCAATTGAGATACCAAGATCTTGGGCATCCTGTAAAAAAGAAATATACAAGCGACTTCTTGTAATAACTTTAAATTACTGCAGGCATTATAAAGACCACTTAACTAAAATGCATGTGCAACATATTTAGACTGAAACTCATACTTTAGCTCGTTGCAATGTGGTTCTTGTCATATCAGTTTTTGCTGCACCCTTGATACTCCCAAAAGGGTCATCTTCATTTGTAAATAACAGTATCCTTTTGTCAGCTGTCTTTGCAGACCTGAGATAAATTTGTCATTAGACATCACCAAAAAGTACACAAGATCCTTAAGAAACAATTAAAAAAGAAAAGGATCCTAACTCAGATGTAATAGAAATTCAACAAAAAGAACCAGATCATAGCTAGCATTACCCTTTACGTAACAGCCCTTGTGCTACCCAGAGGGCATTGTAAATAGAATTCTCACGAGACCCAGAAACAATACCATATTGACTCCCAATTTCTTTCGCAAATGATTCTGCATACAAAATAGTTTGAAAATCAGGCAAGATTTTCACTTCAATCCCCTCCATCAAAAAGGCACTTAGTCAAACATCTGATATAGCAAATGAACCTTATTTCTGTTATATATGATCATATTTATAACCATGAATTTCATTGAAGAAGCAGTAATTTGTGTTAGTGAGAAAAAATTACCATTCTGCAATAATAAAGAATGTGGTAAGAATTTTGTAAAAAATGAGGACTTGTTTACTCTTATCAGTATTCATCATTATATGAGTCCAAGCATCCTCAACTTAATTATGATAAAATGGACGGCTCACCAAAGATGGGAAAAGTCAAGATCATCAATAAATGATACATTAAACAAGAAGTCTCTTGAAAGAAATTAATGGAGCTTGCACATCTTAGGGAAAAACCACAGAACTTTAGAATGCATGAATTCTATTATGAAATGGCTTTAATACAACCACAAGAAAGAATTTAAATACAAAGAACATCTACTCCAATGCTTGAAGGGATGAAATGAGAAATTACAGTATACATAAAAAGAGTAGTAACTACTAATTTTGTTGGGCTGAAGCTGTTATAAAAAGGTAACTAATACTATTGTCAGGCTTCAACTGTTATTCTTTTTCAATGGCAAAGACACATTTCAATTTCATAGTATTTTATGCCCTGACTGTTGGAAGCTCTCATTGTTTCCCTTACAATAAGAACTACTGGTTAATCTGAAAGCTTAGGTATCAACGAATATAGCGAACAATATTTCTCAAGCCAAAATTTAACAAAATAATATTATAACTAATGGATGCGAATTATCAAAAAAAAAAAAAAAATCAACCAAAAAGTTTTAGACTTTGATACTGATAAGAACTAAGTACTGCAAGTCATGAAATATAAATTATTTTGATGAAATTTGGAAACAGGGAATGTTAAGTTTTTACTTAGATCAGTCCAAAATGAACTCGAGCTTAGAATAAAAATCCATGCATCAGCTTAAATGCAAGCCAATGAACCATAACTCACCCTCTATGCGGTCAAATTCTTTTATAAACCTTGCTGTTGGCCTATCTAAAGAATCTCGTTCAGCAACATTATACACAAAAACACCATTTAGATCCTGCATATTCTTCTTTTCCCTCTGCAAATGATTCATAAGATAAGGATGAACTAATAAAAGAATGAACTGTAGCATAGCTAGCATATAAATCTTAAAATAAACATGCCAAGTGTTAGTAACAAAGCACTCTTAAAGCAAATAAAATATGGCCATCCAACATCATGATAAACGTTTTTATAGGAAATGCAGCTATTATATTATCAGCCAATGAATTGTCTAGAACTTATTGCTTCTTTCAAAATTTGAGGACAATAAGCTGTTTTCCTATTTCAAGTGAAAATCCCAGCTCTCTAATCCATTCGTAACAAGAGCAGTAACTTAAAGGTTCTGCCATGCCATAACCAAAACAACGTCAAAATATTCAAGAAATAAAGAAACATATCTTTCATTCTATCAGACAACGTCTTACCGTGTTAAAGAAGCAGATAGCAACTTCATCATATGATCTATTAATGATCTGAGTCTTGAGTGATTGCGCAATACAACTAACCACAATGTGAAAATGACTTTCATCCTTTTGATCTTCCTGCCAGAATGAACACATAAAAAAGGCCAATCAGATTAATTTGAAAATGGTATAAAGTAACAGCATATTCAAAAATCGAAAGAGTTGTGTGTGCAGAAACATCAAACTTGCATAAGCATGCTAAATATGTGCAGCCCGTGAATAGACAAATCTCCAAATCTTAACTTACTGAGATATAATGCATTCAAATATTCATTTCCCTTATTTACCTTACCAGTATAACAGCCAAATATATAGAGTAACATCATATACAGAGGCATTCATTATTTAGTGACAACTAACTGCTAAGAATAAATCTCATTCCACAGAAATACTCCTTGTGATGCAGCATTGCAAAGGAAGACATGTCCCCCAAACACAATCAGTAAAGCGACTTATACTACTGAGAGTCATATTCAAAACATATGCCCAAGCTCCTATGAAAAAACAACCCAAGTTTTTAGAACTGGTAATAGGTACATCACAAGTTCCAAATTGTAATAAGTTATTTGAGCACTTCAACTTGCAAAATGCTGCGATAAACAATCAATCAACTGATCAAAGTTACCAGTCAAGTTATAAGTCCCAAAAAAATGATTATCGAAATTGGCTTCTACAGAGCCACCAAAAAAAAAAAAAAAATTGTGGAAAGCTAATACCCAATCATGGTTCAAACTAATAAAGACCCTTATGTTTTCATTCTGCAACTGAAATAGACACAATCGCTTTTTGGGATCAAAAGGTACAACAAAATGTTTCCTGGAGAAGAAATTGATAGATAATTTTCTGAAAAACCCTTTTGAACCAAAAAATCCACTTAAAGTGCTTCGGACGTGATAACTGCTTTTCCATAAAGCACTTTCAGATACATCCGTAGACACGCTTTTACCCAAAATCACTTGCTGCATAAACACTCTCAAGCACTACACTAGTCCAATACATCGAAAGAACACAAAAAAAGCGAACAATTGAAACTATAAACTAAAATAATTTTAGTTATTACTATAGACAATAATCAATAATCAATCATGTAAACAAGTGCTTGGAAATTGAACAACCCAATCTTCTGCATACATATTTCAAACTAAACGATACCCATACAAACAAAAATAAATAAATCCATCCATCAGAAAAAAGAAAGAAAACTCACGGCTGAAGTTGAGGTAGAAAACATTTTGGGTGAAGCATCAACAAGGTACACCACATATTCTTTAGTTGACTCTCGTTCCTGCAAATTATTATTATTATTTTTTTTTCACATTTTTGTTATGCAAATACACATAACAAGAAAAGAAAGTTTTGAAGTATTAATATCAAATGGTAAGCAAAAACGAAAGAAAACCTGAAAGAGTTCGTTTTCGTCGTCTTCGTCGTCTCTGAAAACGTCATCTGGGTCCAAGTCCATTGTTTTCTCAGAGATAAATGAAAGGTTTTGGTTTGGGTGCTTCCCGAATCGTGAAATTCCGCCCGCGTATTTATATAAATTCGAAAGTCGAAAGTTCAGTTCAGTGTCTGACAAGCTATTTCAAGAGTCAATACTGTCAATGGGCCGGTTTAACTGATGACAAACGGGTCAAATATAGGGTCCATATTAATGGTGAGGATAATTTCTTAACTCCTCAACCTTTTTTAAATTTTACAATACCCCCTATAACTTTGAAATAATCTCTCACATCCCCATCTCGCTTCTCGCCGTTATATATCTCCAATTCTTGATTAGTTTACTTTAAGGTGGTATTTATTTCGTGGATGGGAAGGAATGGAAATAGGAATGAGAATGAGAATGAGAATAGAAAAGGAAGGGGAATGAGGATGAGAATAGGAAGGAGAGGTTTACTTTAAGGAAAGACAATTACCTTTAAACATGATTTCGTGAAATAACTTAAGAGAGCGTTTGGTTCAGAGAACTTTGGATTACGAGGAATGTTGGATCACTTAAATCTTATATTACCTTGAAGATTACTAGAAATCTTTAGAAAAATGTGTTTGACTAGTTGGTACGTATATTATATTAATATGTTTGGTTAGGAGGAATAAATTGGTGGTATGTTATTTAAATTACTAAATTGCCCTATTTTTAAATACTGATATAATATTATTTTTATTATTAATTTTTGAATAGTTTCTTTTAACCCCCACTATTTCAGATTTAGCTAAGTCATCCCCGCTTATATAAAACTTTAATTTATGACAAAATCACCCCCACCGCCTACTGCCACCCAAACCACTGCCGAAAGTCTCTGAAAGTCACCGTGAGTTGCTCATCGTGACCACGAGGCTCCGATATGGCCGTTTCTGATCATATTGATGGCCGAAAATGGCCAAATCTATTCTGGCCATTCCCGGCCAGATCCTTGGCCATTATCGGGCAAATCTCATCCAGTTTGCTCTTGATATGGCCATTTTTTGGACAAATCTACTCTCGATATGCCCTTTTTGGCCCTTAATATAGCTAGAAATTTCCATATTGTGGCCTCCCGGTTACTGTGGGCTGCTCATGGTGACTTCAGGTGACTTTTGGCAACTTCCCTCGGTAGCCCATGGTGGTTTGGCTGGCGGTAGTAGGTGGGTGGGGGTGGTGGCTTGGGTAAGCTAAAATTTGTTTTAATTTCAAGGGTAATTTTGTCCAAAAAAATAATTAAATGGGGTGAAATGGTAAAAGCAAGATTCATGTAAATAAATTTAAAATAAAGGTATTATTGTCCTAAAATTTTATTAACAAGAGATAAAATTGAAAAAAAAAAAAAAAAAAGATTAGCCAAGTAATATTATAATACCTAAGAAAATAGAGGTAATTAAATTACCTCCTATATTACCAACAGTAGCCACTATTGGTATTTGAAGATTACCAGAATCTTATATTACTTGACAAACCAAACATGGTAATCAAGTAATATAAGATGACTTAACCCCAATAATCCCATATAACCCACAACCAAACGCCCCCTAAATACCATGTATACTGCATTGTGATGTCATTATTCCAAAATAAATAAATAATATATGTATAATTATATTATATAAGTTGAAAAATTCAAAACTAAAATGTAAAATATCCTAAAAATATTGGTCAACTTAATTTATTTAAATGAAAGGTGTATTTTATAAAATTAAATTAATACCCTTAACAAAGTCCTTTCTTTCTAATTTTGGTATATTGTGATGATTCATAGGTTTAATCTAAAATAATCATAGGTTTAATCTCGAATAAGAAAAATATACTCACAAAACGTCAAAATACTTAATGATGCTTCTAAATTTACCTCATTATATTTCCAATATCCCAAGTAATGTGTTAATGTGGCATTAATATATAAAAAAATTGATTAAGCATTTAAATGATATGGAATTGCCCACGTGATAATGCCTTATTTAGGATGTGAAATTTGGGATAAATATTTGATATTAGTAGTTATATATTTCAATGAAATCAAAATTTAAATTATTAGACATGAGCATTTAACAGGCATTTGAAATTCGATTACTGAAGAATATTAATTATTGATGATGGTTTGATTAAGCTGAACTTTTTTTTTTTTTTTTCTCGTCCGAGCGCCAATATGTATATACCTCAATTAATGCCCTAAGGTTAATAATTGGGTAAGCTTCTAGTAACCAACTCATCCCTATTAGGGGTCAAGATAAATCGAACTCAGACCTCTTGAATAATACACCTAAAAATCATAATTAACCATTCAGCCACCTCTTGGGTGCTTTTGTTTTAGTATTTTGGATAGTATTTTTGAAAAAGTAAGAGTTGGATGGTAATAACAAGGTAAGATTTGAAAATTAACAAAAAAAACACCCTATAGGTTTGTTAATTTACCAAACACACTTGTAATAAAAACAATAAAAATTACAAAAACACACCCACCCACCCATTAAATATCAGTAACCGGCCACCACCACCAAAGGGTGGCCGGATTCGTTGTATTGACTCATGACCTACTGGATCTAGCTGGTCATGGGTCGAGATGGCCTTTTCCAGCCAGATCCACCGTGGATCTGGTCAGAAAAGGTCAGATCTAGCTATGTATGATGGCCAAAGATATGGTTGTCGTTGACAACTAGCTATGGCCAAAGATCTGGTCTCTAGCCTTCAACGACCAGATCTTTGGCTATAGATCTGGCCTTTTCCAACCAAATCCATGATGGATCTGGCCGGAAAAGGTTATATTGGTGTATTACAGGCCAGATCCAATCGATAGTACACCCTTATACTAGATTTTGTCCACATTCATGCCATGATGGTCGGAATTTGGCAAATGGGGGTGGATGGGGGTGTTTTTGTCAATTTTTAAACTTTTTTAAGGTGTTTAATTAAATTAACAAACTTAGGGGATTTAAAAATAATTGAATAAAATATAATAGTATTTTCATAATAAAGAAATAAATGTGTATTTTGGAAATGATAGGAATAAGATAGGGCAAAAATAGAGAAACAAACACAACCCTTGATTGTTAATTAAGCTGAACTCTGATTGCATGCAACAAAGAGAAAAAGGGATCACCCTTTATTTTTTTTGAAGCTACATACTCTATAAGCACACAACACTTACTAATTGTAAACTCTAATTAATCATACATCATAATTGATACTGCATACATAATCACTTAGATCTAAACATTACATTACAAGAAGCTTGGATTATTAATATTACATTTTCTTTGCCATGCACTAATTTGAAGCCTTATACTTCTTTGCAGAGAGCCGCCTTCTTGTGCTGCGATTTCGTCAAGTAATTTTGAATGTTTTATCGTATTGTTTGAGGTGGTGAGACTTGAGAGTCCTCATCTTCTCCTCACGATTGATCTGTGGAGCTTTCCCTGACTTTACTGGCGGTGGAGGTGGCTTACGCCATTCACTGCATGTAATTGAAACTAACTAATTACCATATACATTCATTACTAAGTGGTAAGTGAAAATTGTTCTTTATTTGTCTGTGTAGCTTGGCCTCTGCAATTACCTCGAAAATATGATAACCGCTAAGTAAAAACCTGCAATATATATATCGAAAAAATTACATGACAATTTAACGTACTGATCACCTTTGTTGCTTGCTGCTATGGAGCACGGAGTTCAACATGACGCGACCAAATAAAAAGAGAGCAAATAATACCTTTTTTTTTTTTTCTTTAATTTCTTCACAAACTGCTCTACATATAAATATAACTAAGTTAACTAGATGTGATCGAGTTCAAAGTATGAAAGTAATCCCAATATTAGGATTAATTTATACATACAAGATTCACGTGGTTGATATACAATGCGCAAGTGGGATCATTTAGTACTGCTAGCAACATAATAATTACTGGTAGGGCTACCAAAAAGATATTGTCCAAATTAAACTAATGATAAAGGAGAGAAATTGGAAGATTTATAATCTTTGAAGATATTTTGAGTAATTTCTAGTGATAGAAGAAAATTTTACATAAAAACTTAAATATGGAAGTAATTATTTGAATCAAACAATTCACGAGGGGTTAATCGAATGACCAGATATGTGACCGAAGTTATTAATCAAGAGTCATTGATGATGCTTGTCGATTGAATTATTGAGCAATATAAATTTGATTGTCTTAAAGATGAATGCATCGAGCTTGCTGTTATCAGTTGACTTTAAGTCAAATTAGGTTTGTAATTATCAATTCATTCCATCTTTAACTTACAAATAAACAAATTCAATTTCATATTCTAAATTAACTTTCCAATAAACAAATCCAGAAAAGACATTCAAAGGTTGCTTTTGGCCATCTTATTGAGAGCTTGAACCAATTAAATGATAGCCTGCTGGAAGGAAAAGAAAATCAACAATAGTTTGTTCTTTGATTATTTTTCTCTAAATATGAGCGTCATTAATTGCTTGCAATCAGACAAGAAAGTTGGAATTTGATGAGACTCCCTCTGAAAAAGAGGGCAACAAGAAAAAGGTAACTGCCTCAATTATAGGCATATAGCTAGTCATTACTCAGTTATATTTAATGAATATCTTTGTATGTACCATATAAAATTTTATCTTTGTTTGTATTAGCCGTGTACGTAGGATATATAGCAGAAATAACAAAGGTTCGAAGATACCACTTTTTGATACAAAATATGTTTTAATTCTTTCGTTATTAAATTAAGATATTTTGGATAATATAGATTAAATATAATTTATATAATTAATACGCTTTGAAAATGATATGTATATGCAATCTCAAACCTAACCTGACCTTATACACGTGCGAAGATTCTCTACTGATAATGTTAGTGAGAGATAAACATAATTTAGTGATAATCAAACAATTAAGTTAGAATTTATCTGATGTAAATCTTTTGCTGTATGTTCGGTCGAAGAACAAATAATACTACTTAGTCCAAACTGTATTTGATCGAACTATGAAAGGAGAGAAAGAGGTCACCTCACACATACAAATTTTCGTTATTTTCTTGCAATATGTTCACTTTTATTCTTCTTAACAAATTAAACACA